CTGTGTAGAATTGCAGGTCAGAACCCAGACGGATGAAAATTAATTTTGCATCTGAATCCTCTTCCTTTGGGCTCTACACATGGAAAGCAACCCTCAAAGGTACCAGGAAGTTGTATGTCTAGCTGCAGCCTTTCCCCTTGTTTTTTTTCTCAGACTACAAATAAGCCATCTAACACCCTCAAGATGTTCAGGAAATGCTGCCTTTAAGTACAGTGGAATTTGCTTCACTGACTGCTTTGAATTCCAGGTCCCGAGATTGATCCGTTTTGGTACGTAGGCCGTGGTGTTCGCCCTATCGGTCGGTTTGGGAAGAGGCAGCTGAGAAGCAGCCGTGGCAGCCTCAGGCCTGTGAGCAGGCACCTGGATTTCATCTTGAATGCTTTGTGGGAGCAAAAAGTGTCGGATGCAGAAGACGATGACTGGTGATCCCTGTTCCCTGAGGTGATAACCCAACCTCTAGTTCTTTGAATTGTGCTCTCCCTTGCACCTCAGACCTCCAGTTCTGCTGTTGCTTAGCAGTCCCACGCTGCTCTTCTTTCTGCTCCTTGTGCAAGTTCCTTCAAAAAGAAACATGTTCAGGGTGCAGGTAAAAGACAATGCATAGACGCTAGCACTGAGTGCCACCACAGCTTGCAAAAATGTTTCTTCATCTTACATCCCCACCAGTCCCTTGAAGCTGTTCACTGTAACATTAGGATTATCCAAAAGCCACACAGCTTTTGTGCTGGGATTTAAACTCTGCAGTGTTAAGTGTATCATGAAACCTTCCTGTCACAATTTCAAAGTCAATGGCTGTTGATATGTAAAAATAAAAAGCAATGGTTGGAAGAAAGAAAAAAGGCTCTTACTAATTTTTAATGTACCTGCATTAATGGCATGAAAAGCTGGTGCTCTGTGTGTAGTTTTTGTATAGGCTGTTAACATCCACTCGTAGGAATGTAGCCCTGAGCTACCCACCAGCCCTTCATGATTCTTCCTGTACTGCTGCAGAGATATATTAATGAACAAAAAGGAGCTCCTATCAAAGATAAGCTCCTATCTTCCCCGCTGAAGAAAAAAAAATTAAAAATTGGCTAATTCAACTCTTCAGAGGAGTTTTGCGCCTACTGCACGTAATCATGCACCATTATCCAAAAGGGATAGGGGCCTAAACAAGCTGATTCCCTTTAAAACCATGTAGTTGTTTGTAAGTACGTTACCTGATTGAGTGAAAGTCACTCTTTGAGGATCACAAGCCGTGTACCATCTACTACATTAGTCCACATCAATAAGCCTGGGGTTGTGGCTCAATACTCATGTATGCCATGGTAATTAACTTTGTTATATTAATTTTATAAGAAGTGTTATTTACAATATGTTTAATCCTGATTAATAACTATTACCAGCAATAATATTCAAATGCAGTTTAATCTACGGCTTATATCCAAAAAAGAAAGTTTACAATTTAGCTAATGCCCGACGGTTAAATCCAGGTCATGAATCATTCTGCAAAAGACAAATTAGAAGAAACTTGCATTTCTAGTTGTGCTGTGTTAGAATTACTACTAAAATTTAATAGTGGTTGAATTACTCATTGCAGATAATTTAACCTTTTTTTCTCTTTGCAAATGGTCTGTCAGCAAAGGGTGGATTTTTATTATAACAAGGTAGTTACTGCTATTTATAATACAACGTATCTGCTGACCCAAAGTGTCACTTAAAACATGCTAGTTTAAATGATCATAATAGCAGACGTATGGTGGAGAAAATACGCTGATAAAGAAATATTTTGATCAGCGTTCATTGCATGGAACTTTGGAAATACTAGACTAAGATTATGGGCAGAGTTCTTGCTCAGTTTGTCATTTTGTAGCAATCCCCATGAGAGCTACAGAAATTCTGCCCAAGAAATTCTGTTTGAGACAGTATTTCGCCCAACCGGCTCGACAGTTTGGAGAAGACTAACCATCAAATGTTCCTAACCAGATTCCTTCCACCCCAGCCCCAGCAGAGAAAATCTGAACCGAGTGCGTTAACGTGTGTTCCTCCACTCAGCTAAGCAAGGTGATTCTGCAGAGCTGCCCATCTCCTGGGTCTATTGGGGTCACTCATGGACAGGCAGTACCTGAGCGCCACGTGCGGCAGCATGTTCTGCAAGCTTCCTGGCCAAAGTGCACACAAATCCAAACAACAGAGAGGAACTTTTGGTTTTTCTTTATGAATCAAGTCCTTGAAAAGGCATTCTTTTCATAAATCACTTTTACTCTTTTATAATTTCTCTTGACAATAATTCTTGGTGAGTATGCAGATAACAACAACAAGGCAAGCTTAATATTCACTCAGACTTAATCAAATAGATAATATAGTCTTCATTTTACCCATTAAAATATTTTCATTTATAAAAATTAATCTAAATATAAATATTAACACTAAAGATTGAAATCACCTGATGACAAAATAATTCTTTGTGTGCTATAACATATGCTTTTATGATTGTTTTAAAACAGTAAATTATATCTCTGCACATATTTGGCACAATAAACATTTGTAAAAATTCAAATGCCTCATAGCAGGTGGGATTTTTTTAAATTTTTTTCTTTTCTTTTTTTTTTTTGCAATGCCTACACAGTACACATTTTTCTGTCAAAGAAGACTGAATATTTTAACATTGTAACACGGTAATAGTTGCTTTTCATGCCTCTTAAGGAAAACAACCTATTCCAAACTTTGTTGGCTTGTTTAAATCACACTAACAGAACAAAAGCCAAAAAGTTATTCTATTAAAATTAGTCATTTCTGTATTGATATTACATACACATAATATTAGTTATTATTTATTAGACGAATATGTAGACCAACCACCATTAATGACATTTCATAACACGCATACCTGCATAAACCAGAACCTGGGAATGTGTTGTATACATACACGAGAACAGTCAAGGAAGGAGGAGGAGACTGGATAACAAAAAAAATTACTAGGCATCCTACTCTGTTTAATCTCCTTTACTGGATTGCATATATAAATAAAATCTATTTGTTTTGTACATATATTTATATATTAAACAGAGTGGGCCAAATTCTGCCCTCACATCTGTGCAAACCAATTTCAGAGAACTAGTATTGTATGAGAGTAAAAGAAGGCATACTTTCACCCAGAATGAACACATTGGGTCAGAGCTTAGGCAGAGGGAAATTCCTTCAAGGGATGGAGTGATGGTTATGTATTCTAGGTGGGAAGATGGTTGTATTTATTCCGAGGGTTCCTTACATGCAGCTGGACATCAGGGTACTGACAAGCTAGATGTCAAATGTGGGTGGCAGGTCTGCAACTGGCACCATTTTTCCAACTGTCCCATCCAGCCATTCCTCACCTTCCCCACCTGCTACCCTAAATCCAGCCTAGCCAGGGAATTTGCCCAGTTTTGCTCATATTTGCCCAAGCACAGACATTTTGTGGCTTGGGGTCCTGGGAGACTGCTTTCCTGCCGCATGGCAGGTAACGTGCAGCACTCTGCTAGTGGGCGTTCGCTGGGAGCCCAGGGAAAGGAGCAGCTCTCCTTCCCTGCTACCCACTGCTCTCTGGAGAGCTCACCACTTCTGAACGTCGAGGGGCAACTTGCCAGCCTGTGCCCTCCACAGCACGTCTCACATCAACCCAGTCTGCATTTGGGTACCCGCTCTGCACTTTGTGTGGAAGATAAGGGATTCACTGCCTCATCACGCCCTCCAACTACCTCCCTGGTATTCTTCAGAGCAAAAAATACCACAAATTGGCAAGGTCCTCCCCAAAAAGGGTGAGAGGGACAACCTGTAAGCAGCATCTTCCCTCCTGGCGCATCTGCTCAAGGGCCTTCCAGTTTGTCTCACCTTTCAAAAGTCTCAAGAAACAACAGAAAAAATTTTACTATTCACAATCCAATTCAGAGTGGTGCAATGGTAGTGCGGTGCACATGGCACCAGCGACAGGCCCCAGCTACTCTATGTTGGCTACAGACTAGTGAAGGAAGAGACATCCGGGCTACATTTGCCCCCTCCTCAGAAAAGCCAGAAGGGCAGAAGGGAATCTCTTACAGGCTGCAGCCACCCTACAACCACCAGCCAGTCAGCAGAGATCTCATCCACAATGCTTTTACGTTCTTTTTGCAATCTTAAAGATTTGGTCAGAATTTATTCGGAACCACAGCATGGTTGGACACCACCAAGAGGACAATGCTACCAAGAAGAACGAGACATACAAAGGTGTTGGTTTCACAACAGTGTTCAGATGTTTCCAGATGCCAGGATCGTAACTCAACAGACATCTGGTCCACATGTGCTGCCACCAATTCACAGTTCAACACGACATCCATGTTCCCCCTGCCGCCAAGAGCAAAATACCTGGCTCTGGAGCTAGAACATTAATTCTGCCAAACGTACCCTCAGCGAACAGAGAGGTCTTTGCATATAGCATGTCCTCCTACAAACTCCGTCAAAACTTCCAGTGACTCCCAGGGAGCAGAGCTACGTGCACCGATTCTCCACTCCCACCACACAGCTGAAAAGCAGCATACACTGCACAGACTTGTTCTTATTGCTCGACAAGACGCATGCCTATGTGAACAGTAACAGGCCAGCAAATATGGATCACAGGTCTGCTTTGTTCTTTCTTTTTGTACAAAATATTGGCCTATAATTATGATTGACAGTGTACAAAAACATACTGCAGTTTAAAGACAACGTACTTTAGTACAATCAATAGGGAACAAAAGTGCATCTTAAAATGTGGAGCCTTGCTTTTGAAACTCAGCATCCTTTCTAGAGTCTTGTGAGAACTTTAAGGCAGAGTTTCCTTTAGCAGACCACAATGCTGAAGACTTGGACAGCTTTCCCAGTGAGGTATCCAAACGAAGCCCTAAAACTGAGGCATTGTGGGTTCACGAGGGTCCATTTTCAGCTGGACATACACAATGGCTGTTAAGTAAAGGCACTCTAGTGTACAGCCTTAGGCAGTGTGTTATTGGCAGTAGGGAAGTGTAAGTTTAGTACATCACAGCAGATCCTATAGCAGGTTCCTAGAACAGAGAGGGACAGGAAAGAAAAAAAACATGAGCGAAACACAAAACAAGCTTGCTGAAGCTCCTACAGAGCCAGGTCCTTCCCCTTCTCACCTCCCCACTTATTTTCCACATATCTAGTGGCAGATTGCTTTGGGACAGTCAGCTTTTTTCCTTATTCCTGTATGGCTGCCGCAGAAGAAATGATTGACAGCTGTCCAGTGAAGCCTATTTGTTCAAAGCCTGGAGAGCCAATGTGTGGCCAATCTACCCCTTAAATTCCACTTAGGTGACCTTTGAATATTTCTCAAAAATTAGTGAGATTCCAGGTGACTCTCACCTGCTGAGTTACAGTGTGCAGCTGGTTCTGTGAGGGTCTGGCTCAGAAGTCTGAATTGCAGGGGACCATTAATTGATTTTTTTTTTTTTTTTTTAAAAATAAGGTAGCGCATTCCTAGAGACCTGGAAGCCAGGGTACATTCACACCGGCTGACATTCAGGAGCTGCTACAGTCAGACATCTTCCAGGACACTGGTCGTATTTGTTCAGAGCAGCCTCAGCGGTCTCTATTCTTTCTCCTTAAACTATGAAGAGAAGTTTTGTGAAGATGCTGAAATATATAGCTGCCTACACAGATACCGCTGTCTCTCTATTTACTACTTTTAATAGCAGTTTTAAAAACATTTGTTATGAGTTTACCATTAAGTCCTTGGCAGTGCTTTTCCTCTCTTTAGTTCTTTGCGTTAGAGATCCTTGAAGCATGAAGTTTCTGTTAAACATTCTGACAGTGGTAACTGGAGAACCATCTATTTTTTCACCTGGGAAAAATACAAAAAGGGAGATTTTTCACAAAACAGCTTGAAGCAGATGTAACAATACTTCTGAAGAGTCACAGCTTCTAGAGAGATAAAACTTCCCCTAAGATGTATAAGGAAAGCTGGATTTAATTTAAATGAAAAACAGCAGGCTGTGATACTCCAAATTTATTAAAGTTTGAGGCCATGTCAATCAGTGGAATTACACAAGAGTAATGCAAAGTGAAGCAGGCCCTAGAATTGCCAGAGTTAATGCACTGCAGAGTTAAAAAAAAAGAGAAGAGATGAAAGAAAAAGCACTTTATTTTATAAAGCCAATTCACAGCCATACCCTAACATACCAGGAACATTGCTGAGCCACATTATATGGACTGAAATCAGCATACGTAGGCTTTAACAAAGCAACAGTGGGTTGTGGAGGGTGGCAACTGGCTTTTAGTAATTAAACACTGCGACTGCTTGGGCCTCACAAACTAACCCCAGGCACGCTGGAGCAGCAGCAGCCCTGGTGCAGGGCAAGTGTTCAGCATTCCTCATTTGCTTTTCCCAGCCTTCTGCTTCTGCTCCTATTAATTTACCACTGACACAACTTCCACTGAAGAGAAAGTGGTGATGCTTTTTAACATGACAAATGGGTATTTCATGTAATGCAAGTACAACGGGAAGTGAGGAGGGTGGACATAGTTAGGCTTTCTCTGTTCCTTTTGTAACTTGACCTTCCCCCTACTTTGCTGAACTGTACATTACATTGAACCTTATAAAGAGAGACTCTATAATGTATGTAACAACTTAAGCTCACCTTTTACTGGTGGAGCTGGAAGTTTTCTCCTCTGCTGTCTTGACGTGTCTATTGTATGCATCTGTAAACAACACATATGCATTACTCAACTCCATTACAGAAAAAGAGGCAAGATTTCCCCAATGTATTTTTTAATACTACATAATGTTCTGGCACCTGGTTTGTTTGCTTTTGATCCCGTTTCCTTGTCAGGCGAACACAGGGAGCCACGTTCAAGCCTGCAACAGTGAGAGCTGATATTCTGCTCTCAATATCTGAAATCTTCAAAGAAAATAAAAGAGAGAGACAGACAGGTGGGGAGGGGGAAAAAGAAGTTTTTAAAATTACTGTGGATGCCACTACTAAAATATATCCCTCCCCCCATCAAATCCTCTTTAATCAAAAAATATAAACAGATGGCTAACTTCTTCAGCAATTCTGACACTTTTCTGTATTTTTTAGTCCTGATGTTAAAAGGGGCTTAATTTGTTAGTAAAGATGGAGTAAAAGAACAATCCAACCTACCTTGTGACTCCAAGGAAGAGGCATTTTACTCCTTTTGAGGGAAAAAAGAAAGGAGGAAAGAAAACCTGTGTCTGCCATCTCCCAGTTACCTTTAGCTGCATAAATCCAAGTTCATTCAGGCTATGCTTTTCAAAGGCTACATTCCAAGAATGACTTTGTGGGACACATTTCCTAATTCAGAATTAATTTCATGCACTTGCAAAGTACATCCTCTGTCACAAAATCTAAATGTTTGATCTTAAATATTTATAATTTAAGTGTATATGTATGTTACACACAAACATGCATAAATGCAGGTACACACTATATAAAAACACTCAATGGAAAACAAATTGCTAGGAAAAACTAAAGTCCAGGAAAGCAAACATCTGGGGGCGAAAGTAGGCTGATGTTGAGACTAGCGGAAACAAATGTTGCCAAAAGGGAAAGAAGCATCAGAGAAGTCAGACGTATAACCTGACTCCTGAATCATGATGACACCTGAAGCTGTTCACTCTGCAGAAGACCTTCCGTTGGCCTCTTTGTCTTCCTCCTTGCATAGCTTAGGTCTCTCTCCTCCTCACCTCTCACCCCCGTTAACATATTTACCATAAAATAATGACTGAAGCCAACAAAATGTCACTGCCAGTTCACCATCTAGGACAGCAATGTACTTCTGACATCAGAGAGATGTCAGACTCTCATATCTTTGCTCAGTCCTAAATGGAGCATGCTCCTGCTGAGGAAAATAACCAGGTATTTCCCATTAAAGCCTGGCACAGGCAGGTCAGAGTGCCTTGCTTGGTACAGACTGGTCAGTGAAGTGACTGGCAGTGAGTTGCTAGCAGTGTTAGACCCCTGAGATCTGGCAGCTTTCAGCACCAGATCATTATGTGTTCTTCTGAGCCCCAGACTTTCTGGAGCCCGCTAGAGAGACGCTAGATCGCAGACCGCAAGAGCAATTGCCTTTTGGCTGGGACATGTGCTGCTTAGCAGCTAAATCCCAAGGCAGGCTTGCAAGTGGTAGGCTCTGCACTTGCCTCAGCAGCTGGCTGCTGTTGGCCTTTTTCAGTAGAACAGTACAGACACTGGCTTCTTTTGGGAAGCGCTTTACAACCTGCTGATTAGACAAGCTGTCTAAGACTGTGTTTGCAGCCTGACCACAACCACGCATGTGACAGAGCACACCACGTGAGCTGCCTGGCAGCAAGGAGCAGGTTCAGTATCAGTATTGCAGTAACAGGCTGTTGCACTCCCATGTCTGAAAACAAGCTGGGGGAAGAAACAAATACAGTACATCTGGCTGGGCTGAGTTACACATCTCAGTTATGCTTTGCTCAGCTCGTGCAATGCAGTCAGCATCCTTGGATCATCTGTTCACTGTGGTACAAAAGAGTATCGAAAGGGCATGTGTGCAGACAACAGGTAAGCACTAGGCAAGGCAGTGTGAAACCTGCAGATAGGGAGGAGCTGCTGTCCTCACCTGAAGCTCCGCGTGATGAACCTGGGCGGCTGCTGTGGCTACCTGATCCTCCAGATCGGCCAACTCAGATTCTGCAGTGACACTGTTGATCTTGCGTGCGGCGTCTTCCAGGTTGGTCAGCTGCCCCTCCAGCCCATACACAGTGCTGGCTGTCAGGTACACCTGCAGGGCCAAGGCAGGGAGAGGCATCAGTGACTTCTGTTTTGTGGGCACAGAGGTTTGAGCAGACTGCATCTTCCATGATACCTTTGAGCTTCCCTCCTTGCTAACCCGCTACAGGGAGACTTAGCTGGCAGAGGAAAGTCATGGGGGAATAATCTGAAAACACACATCCACAAAGAAAAGGGAGGCATGAGGTGGCTGCACTCCAAATTTCGTAGGTGCTACAATGGTATTTCAAAACAGATTTGTTCCAGATTCACCAGCAAAAAAAAAAAAAAAAAAAAAGCTGAAAATTTTGCTTTCTTATTTTTGCATAACAAAACCCTTAAGTCTACACTGGGAAGTCAATAGATCACACCTCATGTAAAGCTGTGTTTATTGAAACATGCCTAATACCTTCTGGCAATCGAAACTCTGTAAGAATGACTGTTCAGCAGCACATGGTTATTAACTTCTTACAGAGTAACTGTGCTTACATGTACAAGACTGTTTTCCATCCCATCCTGCTCTCACCCAAATACACAGCAGCCAAAACCTTCCCACCTCCTGGCACTTTGAATCCATGGAGGGTCAATAGACTTATCTGGGCCACATAAGAGAGAATAACAGACTATCATATAGAGATCTTCCATAAAAACAAACAACTTTTAATATTTTGACCCACCTATGATATCTCGGATAACTGCAGGTAAAGGTTTCATTTCCCATTCAGCTCCTTGGAGCAATAATTCATGATATACTGTATTTTATGTGTTTCTTTTATTTCACAAACAAATATAAGGTACATGGCCAGATGGAATTTTCAAGCATTAGCTTTTGACATCTGTGCTCAAAATTGTGCAGACCCATGTGAAAATACTGCACCTTCTGCCTTTTTACTAGATAGCCAAGAGACTGTTTCCATGAGGCTGGTAACAGCACAGTGGGAATGAAATATATACTCTGATTTTCCTCACTGGCAGCCTCACTCACTCGAATAGCAGTAAAGACTGTGGTGCTACAAAACTTGCATGAATTAAACATGTTCTGTGGGTGACTTCATGGTTCAAGGGGCAAGCAAGCAGGATCTGAACCAGATCCTTGAGCAGATACCTTCACTTCATACATGTTTTCCACTCAAGTAATTGTATCTGCCCACAATTCCTAGATCATGGAGTCCTTTGACACAACAGGTATTCAAATAATTTCTGGCCGTGCTGTGACTTTATGGATCAAAAGTGGTAGATAATGACTAGATTAAGATTTAAGTAAGTGTTTACTTTTTATTATTTTTTATTATATTATTGTTTCTTAATTACTTGCGATAGTTTTTTTCTCCTTTGTATCAGCTGTTTCAAGGCATAACTGTAGATACATTTTTTTCATGTATGTGACTTTGCTAAGAAACAAATTCACTACATCTTGTAAGACCACAGACTAACTGCAGGCATGAAACCTTTGAAAAATGAACCTAGAACAAATAAGTGATCTGATTTAACATCTTTGTTGAAGTACTTGGGAGACACAGGTGGGCCATAAAGTTAACATGCTGATTTAAACAAATGCTCCTGCTTTTGTGGGTTTTAATTATTCTTTCCATTCATTTAAATGATACATCTTTGTGGTGTGACATACCACAGCCACTTCAGATTAAAAGGTGATTTTTTAAATTTCCCTACCATGCCTAAAAGCTCAGAGAAAGAAGAAAAGGGAACATTATGAACAGAAACATCTTTAGAAAGTTAAAGAAAAGATGCACTTAAATGCTGTGACAAAATTCTCTGCACAATAAGTTGTACTTTTCAAGAGGGGAAAAAAATATCTAAAGAAAATAGGACTGAGAGAAAAAAGTGGGAAGCGAAAGTCATTATGTTTTTGTAACTCAGTGTTGTGGTCTAACCCCGCAGGCAGCTAAACACCATGCAGTCGCTCGCTCACTCCTCCCTGCAGCGGGATGGGGGACAGAGTCAGAAAAAAATGTAAAATTTGTGGGTTGAGATAAAGACAGTTTAATAGGACAGAAAAGGAAGGAATAACAACAACAACAACAACAATAATAATAATAGAATTCAGATATACAAAACAAGTGATGCACAACTGCTCACCACCAGTCGGTTCCCGAGCACTGGCCCCAGGCCAGCTTTCCCCCTAGTTTATATATTGAGCACAACGTCATATGGTTTGGGATATCTCTTTGGTCAGTTGGGGTTGGCTGTCCCAGCTGTGTCCCCTCCCAACTTCTTGTGCCCCCCAGGCTGCTCGCTGGTGGGGTGGGGTGAGAAGCAGAAAAGACCTTGACTCTGTGTAATACCACTTAGCAACAACTAAAAAAATCAGTTTGTTATCAACGTTATTCTCATCCTAAATCCAAAACACAACACTATACCAGCTATTAGGAAGAAAATTAACTCTCTCCCAGCCGAAACCAGGACACTCAATCAGCCCCTACATTTGTTAAATTTTAATTTGATTGAACATTTTCCTGCTAGATCTAAATGAAAGATTTTTCTAAAGAATATTCTCTTTACCTGAACAATCGCTGCGCTTCCGAACAGCAATGGTGTACTTGCAGGTCTCCACTAAATTATGACCTTATGCACACATTTGCATTCAAATTGTGGAGACTTATTTGACTACCATTTAGGCAGTACAGCTTCCACTAAAACCCACCTGACCTTGTGCTGGTACAGGTGGCCCTACATTCTCCACACTGATGCATGCACAGTCCCTAAAATGCTAGAGAGAGCAAAAATGAACAAAGTGTCTATATACACCCAGATCTTCTGCCAAAATTTGCTGCAAAGAGGATATGCTGCATGCAGGTATGCTACCAGCTGCACTGGGAAAAGTTACGGATTCCTGGATTTCTAAAGGCATTTTAACTCTACTATGAAGTGTGGTGGTGAAATCTTGAAACCATGAAGTTTTGCCATCCACTTTGTATCCTGTGTGGGGCACAGAAAGATGTAGCGTGGGGACACAGCAAGGCTGAGCTGGATACCTTATGAACTATGCAGGGAACTGAGAGAAGCTAAATCAGAGATATGCTGCAAAGAGGGCAACACCACAGCACAAAATACTCTGCCTCAGCGCCCAGTCTCTGCTCAGTGAGAAATACTTGGCCCAAATGAATGACTGGGGGGCCAAGGCACCACAGATGTCAAAGCTCCACAAGGACGGAAGGGATTGTCAGAGTGTAATTGGGGAAAAAAAATGCACCTCAGACAGTTTACGACACAGTTCTCCACAGAAAAAAAGTGGGAGCAACTCTCCCCAAATTGCTCTCTGTCCTTCTGCAGAATTTCTTAGTTTTTCTAAAGATGTGGTCCAGCCTAAACTTGGATTTTCATTCCGTATTCAGTCTTGTGCCAGATGCATTCTGTGATGTTTGGACCTAGGGTACTTTAGTATTTCATGGGGGAGAAAATCTCCATCTACTTACCTACTTCTATTATTCTGAAAAAAATTAACCAAACCCAACTAGAAGCTGGGGGGGGAGCACATATGTCGTGTAAGAATGAAGTGGATATCATGGTAGATGGCATGAGGAAGGCGCTTTGCTCAGCACAAGCTCACGTGATACCCTTCTCCAGGCACCAGCTGCCATGGGAAGCCTTTACCATTCTGCAGAGGGCCGTATCTGAGCTGCCACACGTCCAGCAGGTCCTGCACACATCCTCCTCTCCCACCCTCTCAGCCCTGTTGGGGAGGACTCCCTAGCCTATTTTGCTTGCTTGTTTAGAATTGCCCTCCCAGAGAGGAGCCAGGAGCATGGCTGCTGTGTGGAAAACCCCGTGGTGGGGCAGGCTCAGGTGGCTGTGGTGCTCCAGGATGGAGGGGAGGAGATGCCAACAACTAGGAGAGCATGTGGGAGCGAGGAAGAGCGGGATCACTTCAGCTGGCACAGCGGGATGCCTGGGAAGGCTGAGCAGGGGTGGGAAGGAGAGGTTTGGCGGTCAGGTTATGACTGGGAGCTGGTTGAGGAGGAGTGAAGGTGCTCTGGGGTGGGTTGGAGGGCATCCTGTTGGTGTGGGCAGGGGGAAAGGTTCGAGATGGAAAAGGATTTGGAGCAGATGAGGTTAGGAGGGGTAGGGTCTAGTTTGGGAACCTTCAGACCGAAGCAGGGCTGGGAGATTTGAGCTCAGATAAAGGTGTGGTGAGAGGCACTGGGGAGTTGTGGGACTGGTGGGAGGGCTCTGGGGTAGGACAGACCCAGTGCCAGGACCTGCTGTTATTGCCATGGATTATCTCCCACTCGTCCCTAGCCTGGGGCTGTTGTGAAGTATGTTTCTGTGGAGGAAACTGATTTTATCCCCCAAGAAGAGATTCTGTCTGAAAATTTTCTGGGGCTAAATAAACCCAGGATCTATTTTCTTGGATTGATCAGGATGTTATAATGGGACAGCGTGGATTCCTACGAGATCTTTAAGAGCTCCTAATGAAGGGAAAAATCACTGAAATGTAATCAGTTAAATGGGGGAAGAAGAGAAAATCGAAAGTACAAGTGTACCAAGTCCATTAAGTGGATGCATAAAAATTTCCAATGAATAGTGACTTCCCTTTATGATTCAGCATTGCACTTTTCCCTGCAGATGACAGTTACTCATGAAAAAGAACGGATGATTCGAACGCGGCCAAACAAATGTTTAATTCGGCTTCTCCGGCCTGTTTTTTTAACAGTGCAGCAGGCAGCTCCAGCTCCCTGGGTGCTCAGCGTGGTTATGCTGGGGACGTGTGGGTAGAGGAAGAGCTCCTCCACTTCTTCTCAGTGTGAATGGGGACATGCTTGCCCTACCTGTCCTTACAGTAACAAGGCTGTGCTAGGACTCAGAGGTGTGTGGTTTCAGGCAGGCATGGTGCAGCTGCACAGCCACAGAGGTTCAGGGGGCTTAACTTAACTTTTCAGCCAGAGCTTCTAAAATTAGTTGTAAACCCCCAAAACACCCAACTTTCCCCCTCCACCAGATATTTTAAAGTACACATTAAAAAAAACCCCAAACAACACAGCTGAGCACCCCTTTGAAACAGGATTTTTTTTCTGTTTGCATATTTGTTTGATAACTCAAAATTAATTCTGAACATCTGCTGATGCTGCCTATGCGCTTTCCCTTTCCAGTTGGCACACACACATAGGTACAGTCACTCACACGTCACACTTTCACGTACTGATTCATGTTCTTACGTTTTCTTCCAACGTGGTGAGCTGCTCATCAAGTCTGACGGGGTCCGTCCCCAGTGGGAAGGTCCCTCTTCCTCTGTCCTGAATGTCAGCTGGGAAATCACAGGGACTGGTGGATTCTGCTATCAGTTCTTCAGTGGCATTGATGACTTTCAGGACTTCTGTAGATATGTTGCAGAGAGAGACAGCAGAGTACTTCTGTTTTGTTACGAGAGCAGACAGAGAAAACAACACCATTAAATTAACACAGAAGGGTAATATGTAAAATCACCTTGCTAATAGCTGCAGCTTTAGCCATGCTAAAACGATATATCTGGCTAACTGCTGTGAATGGACACAAGAACTATGTAATGAAATTGGAATCTACTTCTCTTTTTCTCCTTCCCTTTTTCACATATGCACACTGCTACAGCACGCAAAATAACATACACATGCAATTCTTCTACAACACAATTTCTGCTGGAGGGATGGTCCAAATCTTATCCCAAAGGAGAACACAAATATCCAGCTTTAAAATCCAAGTGAGCTAGATAAGGCTATTCTTGCAATAGTGTTTTAAACAGGTTTTAAAATACAATCTTCCTTTTTGGGTACTGGCAAACAGATGTGGAATCATCTGTCTCCACATCCACCCAAGCTATTGCACTGCAGCTGCAAACACGGGAGAGCAATCTTCAGCAGCCCTGTGAGGACAGCATTTTACAAAGATGTTTGCTATTATTTATATGATAGCCCCAAAAAACAAAGGTTGAGCTATAAGTGTGTAAACACTTGTACCCTCATTTTTTAAAAATTTCAATCTACCATATTTTTAGTATTTATGAAATAAATTATATCAAATACCAAGGAAAAGCATGCAGTTTTATCCCCCCCCCTTTTTTTTTAAACAACTGTAAGCCTTTTTATCAGTGTTCCTCATTTGTGATTTGTAATTTGTAATTAACTATCCTGATTCTGATGATTCTCAGAGAGCTTTAGGCTTCAGGACAACTTCTCTGATGGCAATGAAATTTCACCTGATGTACCTTCAAGCACCAAGCTCAACATCCATACTATATAGCTTGGAGATTGAGCCAAAGCTTGTTGAAGCCAATACAAATACTGTCACTGAATTTATGTGCAATACCTTTAGTGTTGCTTTGTCTAAAAGAAAGCATGGGCAGTTTAGACCTAAATTTAATTCATTCCCCAAACCTGAAAATATTTATGCATGTGAATTAGGGGCCCGGCCATCTGTAAATTTTCCCACAAACAAAATATCTGAGGATAAAACGCAAGGAAACAGAAAGTCTTTGGATTCTATATAGCAAATTCTACAGTTCAGGAAAGTATAACTAATTAAAAATGTCTGTGTGTTACGTAAACATTGTATTAATCAATACATTGACTGGCCTCCTAGGCAGGATATAGGAGAAATAACGTTCCTTGGCTTCACACAAACTCTGGTGCGTTTAACTGGAAAACCACTTTTATTATCTCTTTCCTTTAATCAAGCTGTTCATTTTTATGTTAGATAAGACTTTTACTGAAAAACTACTTTTTTAGCAGTGTGTGCTCAATTGTTGTGTATCAATACATTAAGGCATCGTTAGCACTGTTACTTCTCTGAATTACAAGAAATAATTAGATACATGAGATTAAAGAGAAGGAGAACAAAGTAAATACAGTATGCTACAGCACTCAGATCTTTAGCTTGTTAGGATGGCCAACACAGTCCTGAACAAGCAGGGCCAGGACTCTTTCACTGAGAACAAATACTTGAATCCCATAAATAGCCTACTGTTTTTTCCATTTATTTTCCCAAGTGCCAATTAGGTTAAAAACAGATCAATAATTTGATAGGACAGAAGAGGAAATCAATGTTATTTTGTTTTATTATTTGCTTTTACAAGTACCTAATTCTTATTCTATGAGTAGTGAACATAAAAAGATAAAGGCCAGACACTACATTTTCTTCATCATCTTCACTGATGTATGTTCTCCATTTCAAGAACTGTAGCCTCACTTTAGTGTTCACTATTTCTTATTTTTTTTTATTATCCTTTGTAGTTAATGATGGATTTAAAAAAAAATTATATTAAATTAGAAAAAGGTGTTCATATACCAGAATATGAGAATCCATATTGGCATTTATTACAGACCGATTACTACAAAACAGGTTTTTTGGTTTTTGTTTTCCTGGTAAAGTGTTCTGTGATAGGAAGCTTTATGAAATCAAGATTTGAGTAAAATACTCTACCTCCTCAATAGGTAATGGATAGAGGAAGAAAAGTTCAATGAGATAGAATAGAATAGAATAGAATAGAATAGAACATTTTTTCAGTTGGAAGGGATCTACAATGATCATCTAGTCCAACTGCCTGACCACTTCAGGGCTGACCAAAAGTTAAAGCATGTTATTAAGAGCATTGTCCAAATGCCTCTTAAACGCTGGCAGGCTTGGGGCATCGCCCACCTCCCTAGGAAGCCTGTTCCAGTATTTAGACTACCGTCTCAGAGAAGAAATTATTCCTAATGTCCAGCCTAAACCTCCCCTAGTGCAGAAATGTGATTCTTAGCTTTTCTAGAATTTTGAGGTAAGTTCTTAGCAGCAGATGCTGTTTGACTTTTAAAACCAAAGATTCGCTTCCCATTAAACGTTGCACAAGGCAGCTAGATGAACATTCTTAAAAATGTGTGCATCACTGAACGTATCTCGATCCTATCCCACAGGTATTTAGACACAGGAGTCACAACATTAAAGCTTTTCTTTAAGCTTGTGAAACATCTGCTTTATAGTATAACAAGGATACAGCGCTGGAGTTTAAACACTGTAAAGAAATACATAGCAAGCAAAAGTGATTTTCTGTAGAGTATATCTGAAGAGTAGATCTCCCAAAACTCAAGAGCACAAGCAATATTTCAATGTATTTAAATCTAAACTTTGTGAAAGTTTTCTGCTAAAGGATATTTGGAACTCAGCTTTGTCCTGGGCTGTATTTTACAGAGAAGCAAGAAGAGATTAATGTCTGCCTGAGGGAGACATAAAATCAACATGTGGGGAGTTCTAGGGTTCTCAAATTGGAAAAATTGGATACTCAATTAATGGTTTTGCATATGTTTTGACCTCTGTTTTGAGTAACTGTCAATTGTCAAAAGCTGTTAAAATAGCCCATGTTCCAAAATGGCCAGTTTGCAAACCTAGTGGGGTACTCTAGATATAATTATTTAACATGTGTAAGGAAGAAAAAAAAGGAAAAAAAAAAAGTGTCCTGGAGTTTTAGTGCTTCACAATCCTCTCCTCTCCCTGACCACCCACGTCAAACCTAGGATTTATGAGATTCTATAAAAATCACCTAAAATTCACAGACACACGCACACCAAGATCATCCTGGTAGGTGGACATTTCAAATTGCTATAAAGACCTCTTGGCTGTCTAATTTATCTTGCCCTTGCAGGAATGGTCATTGTTAACTCCTATAAGTCATTCAGAGAGACAGCTATCATGCCATAATGAAGTCTCTCCCATCTGTCTTGTCAAGCAAGTCAAAGAACTAATATGGATGTTAGACACAGAAAGCAATCTCTGTTACAAATATCTAGCACAGAAAAGCTAAGCACAACCATTCTTCTTGAAACACTGGGATACATTCTGGTTTCAACTGTGCTACCCTACTTCTGGATTAACACCACCCCTCCCAAATTAAATCGATGCAGCTGATCCAAATTTGAGTGTTTCTACTGGTTATGAGAATCTCATTTTTTACGGAATTCAAGACTAAGAGTTTAATGGAATAAAGAAAACATTCATTTATTCTTTTTATGATAATTAATGCCCACACTCACAAATACATTAAAGACACAGTCAAAAGGAGATGCTCAATTTCCCCAAGTTCTTCACAGGAGAGTTTTAAAACCAATGAAATACTAAAAAAGTGTGTGCATGCAAACACATATACATATATGTGTGCATTGTGTATAACAAACAGCATCTTGTAAAACTTCTTCACTGTCATTTCTGTGTGTGGTTGGACAGATGGAAAGGATTTTTGTTTTGCTGAAGGTTGTTTCAGTGGTCTAAGGCAGCTCTTGCTGACCGTTAGCCATTTCCCTCCCCTTCTGCTGTCTCTCTTTACTTGCCCTGCTAATGCTGCCAATATTTCCTTTGTTGTTTTACTTCAGGATGCTACACTGGAAGGTGCTTTATAGAACTGTATTTGCATCTTTGCACAAAGGATGATGAGTAATGGAAGGAAAGTGGGATGATAAAACAGAAGCAATGTAAGCATCCAAACTGCTGAGAGTAAGGGAGCATTAAGTCCTTGTATGAATCTCAGCAGCCTATGACATTTCCACATCAAGTTTCCTTTGCATGAACATTACTGCTTTTATTTTTAATGCTCTTAAAGTAGTTACATTCTCTATCACTTGCACTAATTTTTTCTCCACGTTGTACTTCGGCATTAGCATTTTCTCTTTTTTGCTACTATAATGTTATGCCATTGTTAGGCTCTATTAAACTGGCAGGGGAGGCAGTGACTTATAATACAATAGAGAACAGTTGACAGCAACAGTTAGATCAAGAAGTAGAGCAAGAAAAACTTTCCATCACTAGCAGCCCTGGTAGTATTGACCACATCCTTGATGGCTTGTAGTGAAATCATTTTTAGCTCCAGTCTCAAGCCATTCTATCATGGTCCAAGTGGCATGCCCATTTTGCAGTCAATATCCCTCATTTTTTTGCAGGGAGTTGAGGGGGGCTGGGGAAAAGACGAGTTTTGATTTGCCACCAGTTGATTCATCTTTTCAGAGTAACCTGACTGAATCCAAACTTGATGAAAACAAAACCAACACTCAGACCTGCCTCCCTCATCTCCCCACCCTGGGGGACTTCATTGTACAGCTTGAGAAGGCCCTGAAAAGCCCACCAAAAGTCCATCTCCTTCACAGGCAAGCAAGGTCTGGGACACCAGCCAAGTCACAGTGTGCGAGGAACAGGGCCATCAATGCCCAACTATCAATGGCAGATGTCAACCCTGACATTCGAAAGATCTTTGGCCTAAAAGTGAGCCCTAACCACTCATTACCACAAAGACTGGGAAAGAAAGCTAAAATTTGCCTTGATGTTTGGTGGAAGACAAGCATACTATGATAAACTGTGGTATTAGGGAATTACTTTTCTGGGCAAGTTTAAGACTTCCTGCCTTGACCTTAACATC